GATATGTACAGACAGACAGATAGATAGATATGAACAGACAGACAGATAGATAGATATGAACAGACAGACAGACAGACAGACAGATAGATAGATAGATAGATAGATAGATAAGAAAACCAAATATATAGATAGCATTGGGAATACCCGATGGAAATGATTACCCCCCTCCGTTAACAGCGTAATGGCCGATCATATGTCATTAACGATCGTAAACAGAGAAACAGACAACTGACCCTGGCTCAAATGACATCCACAATTTGTGTGGATGACCTGAGAAGAACATCCAGCAGGCCAGTTTATTGTTGTTTAACATTCATGGTGTAAAGGAACAGAAGAACCACCAAGGTGTCCCTGTTAGCCCCACAATAGACTCACCGCAAGGAGTTACTCAGAGTGAAAGGAAACGAGAAAATATTAGTGAGTCGTAAGGTGACAGTAGAAGAACTGGCGGGAAAGCAGGTAACCAAAAGAGTGTCGCGTGGGCGGGTATAGCCAAAAGAAAGTGTCGCGTGGGCGGGTAAGTGCGAGGGAGGAAACAATTAGAACAGAGCTTACATTTAACAAATTCAAATTGAAACCTAGACGCCAACCTCGTCGCGCGTTTAAATAAATGCGGTCGAGTTTGCCTAAAAAAAAAAAATCTCCGAAGAGCAATTAGCTTGAAAATATTTATAGAAACGACACGGGAATCTATGTTACGGCGATGAGAAAGTGACTAAAAGACGAGATGCAGGTCAAGAGCCGATAATATTTGTCTGTTCTACATCGGATTTAGTGCAAATATCTGGAGATAAGGAGAGTACAACCACAAGTCAAGATATCGCAGCAAAAGAAGGAACCTTATTGTAAATTGACCAACGTGGTTGGCTGAAAAATGCATTAGATGACTATGAAGGAGAGATTCTAGAGCAGAGAGATCTTGTATACGTTAATTTCAAATCTTCTTATTAATACCAAAATTGTTTATTTCTACTTATGAGAGAGGGCTGAAAAAGTCATTGACTGACTATGAAGGAATGATGCTAGCGCTGGGAAAACTTGCAAGCATTCAGTTCAACTCTTCTTATTAATAACAGCTTTGTTTCTTTCTAGGTACAAGAGTGGGCTGAAAACTTACAGAAAAAAATCATAGACTGACTATGAAGGAGTGATACTAGAAAAAATTGAAATCTTGCATGTGTTCAGTTCAACTCTTCTTATTAATAACAGAATTGTTTATTTCTAGTTATGGGAGTGGGCTGAAAAAGTCATTGACTGATTATGAAGGAGTGATACAAGAAAAAATTGAAATCTTGCATGCGTTCATTTCAACTCTTCTTATGAATAACAGAGTTGTTTATTTTATGAAACTGCTGAAAAAGGGCATTGACTGTATATGAAGGAATTATGCTAGAAAAATGAAATCTTTCATGTTGAAAAGTCATCTTCTTTTGTATAACAGAAGTTTATAGTATGGATGTCATTGACTGACTATATAGGGGTGATACTAGAAAAAATTGAAATTTGCATGCGTTCATTTCAACTCTTCTTTTGAATAACAGAATTGTTTATTTCTAATTGTTATGTGCTGAAAAAGTCTTGACTGTAAATGAAGGAATTGAACTGAAATCTTTCATGATTTCAAAGTTCTTTTTAATAACAAATAGAAAAAATTGAAAAAGTCATTGACTGACTATGAATTTCAACTCTTTGAAATCTTGCATGGCATTATGAATAAATAACAGAGTTGTTTATTTCTAGTTATGAGAGTGGGCTGAAAAAGTCATTGACTGTATATGAAGGAATTATGCTAGAACTGGGAAATCTTTCATGCGTTCATTTCAACTCTTCTTTTTAATAACAGAATTGTTTATTTCTAGTTATGGGAGTGGGCTGAAAAAGTCATTGACTGACTATGAAGGGGTGATACTAGAAAAAATTGAAATCTTGCATGCGTTCATTTCAACTCTTCTTATGAATAACAGAGTTGTTTATTTCTAGTTATGAGAGTGGGCTGATATGAAATGCTAGAACTGGGAAATCTTTCATGCGTTCATTTCACTGTTTTCTTTCTAGTTATGGAGTTACTGAAAAAAATTGACTGACTATGAAGGGGTGATACTAGAAAAAAATTGGAAATCAACTTTCTTATGAATAACAGGTTTTAATTTATTTCTAGTTAACATTGACTGTCTTTTTCAATTTCAACTCTTCTTTTTAATAACAGAATTGTTTATTTCTAGTTATGGGAGTGGGCTGAAAAAGTCATTGACTGATTATGAAGGAGTGATACAAGAAAAAATTGAAATCTTGCATGCGTTCATTTCAACTCTTCTTATGAATAACAGAATTGTTTATTTATAGTCTTTGTAGGGTCAACAGTGGGCTGAAATGATCATTGGATGACTATGAAGGAATGGTCCTGAGCCGTGAAATCTCGTATGCATAATTTCATCTCTGCTTATTTAAAACTTCATTGTCTTATTTCAGGTCAACTGCCATCGGACAGTTCAAAGATGAC